ATGGCTTTATATAGACAGGAAGGAGCTGAGAGGGATCAGATGTCCTGAGAGATAAGTATTTGTATTACAAATAAAACTTACCAGATAGGGTATAGGGTTTAGGGCTTATTACTAAATTCTTATCTTTTAAACCATGGTCCTTTCTTTTATTTTTCTCTCATTAATTATCTTTCCTTTTATTTTCATTAATTGTTCCTTCTATTTTCTTTATTAATTCCTTCACCTGTGTAATTCATTATTGTTTACATTTTCTCATCTCTCAACTTAATACTTTTAACTCCTGCATTCTCTTTCCTTTTATTATCTTCTTTCCTATATTCAAGAACTCTTCTTTAATTTATCTCCTATTGGTGTTTAATTTATTTACTAATTTTTTTGATAATCTCATATTTTTTACATTTATACATGTGATGAGTGATGGAAAATATTTTGCATAGCTCAGCTGATCATGGTTTGACAGTCTAAGAAGCACAGGGTGGTGCAGAGTTGATCACACTGGACAGTCTCAGATGTACATGGCAGGGCAGATATGATCATGTCCGCACAGTCTCAGATATACCCCCTGGTGCACGTCCTGTACCGCACCCTCCTTATCAGATAGATCGCCCGTCTTGATAAACTGCGCAGTACATATTGATTTCCTATTTTTCATGATTAGTCAGCTCGTGCATATTGCATTCTGATACTATGACTATAAAAATTAGACCAAACTTGAGCTTTTAAAACAAGTATACTATTCTTTCCAATTATTATCATGAACTAAAAAAACTGTACTTTTATTCTGTATCATTTGTATAATATTTGTGTGGTTTTCTTTTAAATTATTTGGACTGGTATTTGATGGATTATACTCTTTTGAAAACAGGCTTAAATGAGGTTCACACTTATTCCTTGATGCACTATACTAAAATAAACCTAAATCAAAATATATAATATATAATATTAATATCTGACAGAGAAATATACTAGTTAGTTTTTCTTTTTCTTTTATAATTTACATGATATATAATATTAGAGAATTAATTTCCTGGTTGAATATTATTTCAATAAACCTGGTCTTAAATTTTTTTCAATTTGTAATATCAGATTTTATCAAGTATCTAATACCAGATTTTTGTTAAAATCTAATATAATATATTTGCTATTTCATATCAGATACTTCATAAATAAACAACTAGAATTTTAAAAAATATATGATATTATAACTTATATTATATAGTTTATACTTTATCTATCACCTTTTAGAGCATTTTAGAGATTATTATAAAATAATTTCTTTAAACTTGTAACAGGGTTTCTCATTATTTTTAATATAAGATATTAGTTACATGATATAAAATAATTGAAGAAGAGAATATCAGGTTATGATACTGACTGCAGGATCCTGATTATAATATGATATAATATCCAGTTAATCCAGCAGTGCAGCGATCAAGGACTTACACCTGTACCAAGGAAACACTTATCACACCACCAGGATCCCTTGCGCTGGACCATTCCGGAGACTTTGTAAAAAAACGGCTAGTATACCTTGAGGTCTCGAGGGCTTATGTTAATACTGTCCGGTCGAACTGTAGGGGTGGGGGATAGGGTACAGTAAGCCTCTTCCCTTTCCCCTCCCTCGGATCTGAGACATAATGCTGGCGACCGAGCGGTACCGGAAGCTGAGACGAGACGATGGTGCGTACCGGTACCGTACTTTATAGTGTTCCTCCACCAGCTGATCTGTCACCCCTGGCTGAAGACTAGCAAAGCCCTAACCCTGAACAATCCGCATTTTAGGGTTACGGGTATGATACCTGATGATTCCACCCGTAACTTAGGATATGATTATGATACAACTGACTGCCGGTACGCACCGCCCTCCCACCCTCTTCCCCATCACTATCGGTAAAGTAGACTACCGGTACCGTACTCATGTGTGCCCATCCCTCCCTTCTCTCCCAATAAATTCCTTATTCCGTCGATAGTGCAAGGCGCTATCGAGTGGTGAACAAATACCGTGGAATATCGTAGCGGTAGGATAGACTAGAGAGGATGATTATTTTCTTAATGTTCAATAATAAATGCGCACGACATTGTATTGTGCCCCCTGACATACCCTTACGCACGGGTTACCTCAATTCAGCTTATCCTATCATCCCGAGCACTTTGGGGAGTGAATCGCACATAACAAGGCCTCGCCCGGTCCAACCACCCCGACGAGATAAAGCACAACTCGCCAGCCCCCTCCCCACTCACAGCCCTTCAGTACCGAATCCTCCTCCCCTGGAGGATTAAGCTTGGAGTGTAACAGCGGGGTTTTTAGAGGCCACTGCACCGGTCTCCGCCATCTGGCCGGGGTTCAGGGTGCGAGTACGGACAAGGACCTGATATCGAGACCCGGAGAGCATCGTCCTCCTCCTGAGGGTGAATACCATAAAATTCAGGTCGTTGCGGGGGATGAGAGACGCAAAATCTTACCCATAACTCATAGGGCCATCACCTCTTGCCCCCTCAAACCCGGGGCTTGCTAGCTTCGGTCAAGCGACTGTCAAAGTTGCCTTACCGTATCATATCATACTCGTACATCCCGTATCATACCCACAAGCTCCCTTTACCACCCACCGCTCAACGTTTCCACCTGTCCTGCCAGCCCACTCTAACTCTTTCCGCCCTCCCCTCCTCCTCTTATCCACCCCCGACACCCTCCTTCCGTATTGCCACCGGAAGGTTCAATCCTCAACCACTAAACATACATTACAGTACTTGGCTTGCATCGCGTCTCGCTTAGATCCGCGAAGCTTCAGCTACGTACCCTATTCTTACTTGGTTCTACTATTGCATCCGTTCGTTTCCCCTTCCACCCAATTTCTAGCTCCGATCTCTAACTGCTCCTCCTACCGCCAGCTTTCTTTCTTTCTTTTTTTTTCCCTTTTTCCTTTACCCCCAGCCAATAGCATCGTCGTCTCCCCGCTCGCTCTCTGCTTTTCCACACCCATCCCACAAGGCTCCCTGCCATTCGCGACAAACCCCTTCCCGCCGCTTGTTCCTCCACCCATATTATCCACCCTGCCCCATCTTCAGAGATATCCTCCTGATCCCGTCACGCCTCCCGTCTTGTCAGGTTTCACGGGCCATGACAACATTTCCTCCCACACCCGATGCGTCCCCCAAGGTCAAGAACAGTTTGCTGTTGAACTCGGCCCCGTCCCCTGCCAGCTCAACGAGCTCCGTCACCCTAGCGGACGAACCATCTTCCTGCGTCTCGGCTGAGGATGACAACAACTCCTCCTCACCTTTGGCTATTTCCGCTTCCTCTCGTGCTCACGGTAACTCATCCCCAACCACTCCTCAATCAATAGCCAAGTCGCCGGAATGCACGGAATCAGAGACAGTCCCAAGCGTACCGCCACACCTGTCGTCTGCGCCCATCGGAAATTTACAGCGCATTTCCTCACCAACCCACCACGGTACAGCGGCCAGTTTCGATTCACTCCCGCCCACAGCCCTAATGGAAATCTTCGAGCATGCGCTTCGCGGCGATTGCGGCGAGATCTCGTGTAATTTAATCGAATACACTGATCCCCGATTTCTGAATCACAATTTTTGCGCGCTGCTTGAGCGTAGGAGATCGCTCTCTCGCCTATTTCGTGTCAATAAGCTCGCCCGCGCCTATCTCCAGCCGCACCTGTACTCGCCCGCTGTAGTCACCAGCATGGCCGAGCTAAACTCGCTAAGTGGGTATTATTATCCGGATATTGATTGGAAAAAGAAGGGAAAGCAACCAGTCCTGGAGCATGGCAACGTCAAGCCACGGCTTCCAGCGAAAAGGTGTAAAGCATTTAGAGGGCTTGGCCGAGAGGTCAGAGAATTGGTTGTCATAATTGCTGGCTTACCCGGGGGCATGTTGGAGGATAATCCCTCTGTGAGATGGCCCGGTTGGTATATCGAGGACTGGATGAGATATGATTTGGAGGCATTGGCAGTAGAGCGACTTACTGTTCTAGCTCCTTCACAGGGTAACCCCCCTCCTCGAACTAGCATTCGGATGCGAGCCGCGTGAAGTGGGAAAGAAGACAAAAACTAATCATCGCTAGTTACCGCGGCCACCATGTTGTGCGCTACAATCCCAAACTACCAAACAATCAAGCACCTTCACATAGAAGTTAATATCGGTGAACCTGCCTTCGCTCCGGAAACCCGCTTCTACAACTTAGCAGAGCACGACAGCACAAGAGACCACCTCTGTCCCCGCCTCGTCCTCCTCCACGACAACCTTGAATCCCTGACCCTCCGTAACATCCACGTCTGCCGACACCTCTTCGACCATTCCAACACCTGGCGGCGCCTCCGACACCTCAACGTCACATTCCACAACGGCCTTCGCGGCCTCTGCGGTGCCGACACCACTGCCACCAACGAACCCACAGCCCCAGAACTGGAAGTCAACGAGACCAACCGCAAAATCTGGGAATTCTGTCAGCAACGCCAGTACCTCACCATCGAGATGCTGGCCTGGTATGACATCTGGTCCCCCATCCCCGGCGATTCCGTTTATTCGTGGCACACCATCAGCGCGCTGCTGTACCGTCGCGCGACACCTGGTGGACAACTCGTTTCCTCGCCGTACGAGTTGTGGAAAGCGTTATCCGATGGCACGAGCCGTTGTCCTTCCCCAACTGGTACGCCAATTGTTAACGATAGTGCCGGGGATGAAGCGGAGGAAGAGGAGGAGGAGGAGGAGGAGGAGGAGGACGAGGAGGAGGAAGTAGAGTGCTCCGAAGACCAGGAAGAGGAGGAGGACTCTATCCTGCTGCTTGATACGCGGTTCTCTGATGATCCGGATGGGTGTCTAGATGAGAGTGACGGTTACGTGGCTGCAAGTCGGGACGTGGATATCGCTATTCTCAGTGCTGCTACGAGGCCGCGGCAGATGAGGATCTTGTGATAGCCTCTTTGCCTCTTTCATTGTCTCTTTTTCCATACCTTTCTTCTTCTATACCTTTCTTCTTCTCCTTCCTTTCCATCATCTCTCCTTCCTCATTTCCTGCCTTCTACTTACTTCTCTTTTACACTCTAGGGTTCTTTCCTACACCTTCGAGTCAGGGTCAAAACGGATAAGGCGTTTGTTTATGATTTAGTTCAGTCTATCTTCTGCACAATTTTTTTCACCTTTCTCCCTTTTCAAGTATTCCCCCCCCTCATCGGATTAGGAATCTCGACAATTCCGCTTTTTCTCTATTTCTTCTTTCCCCTCTATCTATCTTGCATCCGGACGCGCCGTGCCTTGACTACCTCAAAATGACAGGAAGGGGGGGAAAACAAGACCTCCAGCTTCATATGTTCGTTGATTGCTTGAGTAGAGCAGGGGTTACAATTTTCTTTATCTTCCCTTTTCCAAATCATTTCTCCGCTCCAAACTCAAAATTCACCAATAAGAATGGGAATAACGACAAAAGGACAACTAACTGACCGGGCATAGTACGGGTAGGAGTTTCAACTTTGCCTGTTTATTTATTTATTTATTTATTTTTCATGTAATTCCACCCTTCTGCTCCCTCCTAGCTACCCGAGCAATGGACGCATCACGCTGGTTGGCCGCTGAGTAGAGGTTATGTATGGAGTATCATAGCTTGTCGTACAAAAGTAGCGGAACAGGAACGGAAGAAGAAAAGAAAGAACAGAAAGGTTGCTAGAACTCACAGCTTGTCACTCGGTGTTTGGAAGCTAATTGATGATATCAATCATTTCATTCATGTTATGACATGGAAGGAATTCCATGCGCGCAGGTAGGGAGGGAAATGCAAACTGCAATGCAAACAAGGTCCTAAAAGGAGATGAATTGTCAAACAAGGAGGGTTTGATTTTTGGTTTCTTTTTGGTTCTCCCTCTTTTTCTTTTCCCTTTTCTTATGTGTCTGTCGCCCCCACGATCACCACTGCCATCGCGAGGGAAAAAGCAAGCTTAGGGGAAGAGGCGGTGAGAGGGAAAAAACATAAAAATAAGTAATGCCACGCACGACACCTACTTGACCTCATCAAAATTGACCCCGTACTTTTGCGTCAATCTCGCTCTCCTACGCTCTTCCCATCCAGCTCCGTAAATGCCTATCCCTCCAGCGCGCCACCCGGGGAAAGGTCAGCCTCCTCGCCCCACCAAACAAAGAAAAGAAAAAAAAAGGAACCCCACCTCTCCCTTCTCCCAACACCTCAATAGTCTCCCCGACATCCCGTCTCGTGCGCGCTCTTACCCCTTCCTTCCTCCCAACTTCATCCCTCACCCCCCCGCCCCTCAACCTCCTGCCCAGAGCTCCACCCGTGTACTCGAATATCCCCATGACAACCCCCAGCCCAACACCGCACCCGACAACCCCCGACATGGTCCGGACCCGGATCCCTAGCAGCGCGCCCGCGACGGCGCCACCGATAGCGGGGTTGATGCTGTCATCCACGCCACGGAGGTTGGCACTTGCGGTGCGGAAAAACATGTACGAGCCGCCTATGGCCGCTCCCAGCCCGATCACGCCACCGGTGCGAGTGATGAAGGAGGCGGCGCCCACGGGGGACTTTGTGAGGGTGTTTTGCATGGCTGAGATGAAGGCTCCGGCGCCGCTGCCGTAGAGTGTACCCTTCACGGCGAGGGATATCGCATCTTGGCGGTGGAAGGTGGTGGACGAGGGTTCCATATTTGGTAATTTGGCTTGGCTTTCTTCTGCTGGTGTTTTCGAGGTGAGGGTTTTCCCCGGAATTGGTTGCTGGAGCGGGGAGGCGAAAGGTACTACTAAGATTGGGTAGTGATGGAGGTGATGGCTCGGGATGTTAGGTAGAGTTGCGGGATGGAGGATCTGATGGAGGTTTCTTGGTGGGGTTTATTAGTCATCTAGCTTTTCTTGGACCGGTATCGTACCGGTACAGGAGTTCGACATGTCTGGCAGTGTGTCGGGTGACAAGACCTGGAACGGCCAGGGCTAGGCGTACGACTACTGTACAAGGCATAGGGATAAAGTATCCGAACAGTTAATTTAGGTTAACCCGCAAAATAAACCCTGTCCCGTACGAAAACTTTATCCCTGGCACTTGTACGATCTTGGCACAAAAAGTCATGAGTACTTGTTACAGGCCATGAGTAGGCGAAAAAAAAAAAAAGAGAAAAAAAAAGAAACACACTACGTCCGGTATTTTCCTCATTTTTGAAATGGCGGCACCACGAATTTACGACATAAGAGTTTTTCAGCGGATAGGAGTGCTCTAACGTCAGTCACCGGGAAGTGACACACTTAGCAACCATAGTCAAAAAAGAGAACACTATCAATTCTTAACCAAATTGAACCAAACAAAATGATATCAATTAAGAGTGAATAGGAGAACCAAACCATGCCCTAAATAGTAAAAAAAAAAAAAGGGGGTCTCCCACTAAAGAATGCCAGAAAAATGGTGGAAAATGTACTCAAAATTTCAAAGAAGATAAGTGGACAAACTAAGATTCAGGAGCATGTAAGACAATTTATAAAGTGGATGTAGGTAATCTTATAATGGTAGAGGTAATAGAAAAAAAATAATAGTTAATAGTAGTTGAAGTTTATAGAGTACAGAAGTGGTTAAGGAAAAGGTTAATGAAATAGTAAAACTAATAAAAAGTTTGTAAAAGTCTTAGAAAGTAAGAGATAACTGTGTAGATAAGAAAGAAGATCAGATAGGTTTAGCTCAGTATTAGTATATTGAGAATATAATATAAAATAATAGGAATTTGTTATATTTTGATAGTAGCTGGACTCTTTGTACTACATTTTTACTAGGTAGTATTGTAGTAAGTTCTATTAGAAAGTTTATAATAGTTAGTTGCATATATATACTATAAATCATATGAATATGGTTTGAGAAGACTAGACACTAAACTAGTTTTCTCACAAAAAGTATGACAATTTTTCATGCAACAGCAACTATAAAGCTGATAAAGGTTCTTACACAGCCATTCTGTTTTATTAATCCTACCTTTTGAAGGTGAATTGTAAGGTTAATAAAATATAGAGATTAAGTATATCTAAATCATATAAATGGAGAAGTATTACAGAATATAAATAGTTATGAAAGCTTAAATCTTTATCACTATGTAATTAAGTTTAAAAATTATATATTAATATATTAGATTTACAAAAAAAAGTTAATCTATTTTAGATAACAAAGTATTATACAATAGACTAGCTTGTAAGCTAAACTTTAGTCTTAGCAATTCAGTGATGGGAAGAATATCATGTGTAAACATGCCGCGTAAAATCTTCTGACCCATATACCATATTATTATGATACGCATTCTGTAACCGGAGCTGGTACTCGGTTAGTTTGTTTTATATCTTGTTTTAAGTATCGGTTGATACTTAGGTTGTATTATGTTTTGTTTTAAGTATCGGTTGATACTTAGTTTGTTTTATGTTTTGTTTTAAGTATTAGTTGATACTTAGTTTGTGTTATGTTTTGTTTTAAGTAACGGCTGATATTTAGTTTGTTTTATGTTTAGTTTTAAGTATCAGTTGATACTTAGTTTGTTTTATGTTTTGTTTTTAAGTATCGGTTGATACTTGATTAGTTTTACAGATTGATTGAGTAAGAACATGAGTGAGAATTCATGATTGTACTCAAACACATGTACTTAAAAGGACCGCCGTCATCCACTCTGGAAACGGCAGACTTCGACAGATAGTATGCAAATATACTTGGTTGAACAGTTGTCCTTATTTTCCTGTTACACTACCGGAGCCACCCTTAGCGAGCTCAAGAACTATTAGTCTCCAGCAGATCATCAGTTCTCTCCTATTGTATCTCGCGACGCGACCCGCACCCTGGCGTGAACACATTATATTGTTTTAACCTCAATGAGTGGTTGAAATACAACGAATCAGGGCCTGATCAACCCACAAGGATTCAGCGTAACGAAGGGTACCGGCAGAAGCGGCAGACCACGATTGTCGACTCCTGGACCACGAGCAGTACGACATAGATCTACTTACAACTCGTTGTAGGCGCAAGATCCTACGACAAGACTTGACCCAAAGAAAAGAAGCAAAACCAAGTACAGGCACCACACCAGGTGAATTCCAAGAGTTACCAGCAAAAGAATGCAAACTACTGGCACCATCACGACTGACACCCCCACCCGACAGTCCTTCAGAGGAAGTAGAAGATATGTCTGGTCATGGTACCCCCGCCCCTCTGGAACCCCCGGCAGACCCTCCCACACAAAAGCCTAGAATGAAAATGCCATAACCTAGGACGTTCTCTGGCAAAGAAGATGATCTGAGACCGGAAGCTTTCAAATGATGGATTGTCAGCGTACGGCAATACCTGTCAATGTACGGAATAGTCATGAAAGATTATGGATCAGGTATCTATTTCAGAGCCTTCAGTACAGATAATGCAACGGAGGCATACCAACAGTATATCAGAGAGTACCGAGAACCTGACAAAGTAAGGGCAACCACAGTAGCCAACTTCCTGCACAACCGATTTCCATCATCCCGAATTGTGGACGAAATATTTGAAAAATTCAACACAATTGAGCAGACACAGCAAGGAAAAACAGACAAAATAACTAAAACAGCAATGATGCTCCTAATGTACCATAGTTGGTTACCAATAGGTACAGTCTCGGCATACTTACTCAAAAAACGATTCTACGAAAGCATGCATGTCAAAGCACGGCGGGTAACCGAACGGCAAGAAATAGCAACTGATGATATCCATTCAATCATCAAAAGAGCAGAAAGGCATGATGCTATCCTGTGGGATACGAATGCCTACAAATCTACGGAGGCAAGGAAAGAAAGAGGGCAGCGGTACAGGCCTACCAGAAACTTGAAAAAGACAGGGACACTTAAACCAAAAGACAACCAGTGACAGCGATACCAAAGAGAAAACAACAAACGCTTTGAAGGCAGACAAAAGGGCCATTATGCCAAGGACTGTTATACATGGAAATCCAAAGGCAAGAACATAAAAAAAGAAGCTACCATGAACCTCCTAGAAGAAGAAGAAGAAAGCTTCTATGAAGCAATTAGCATTAACTTGGTAGTTGCAATGGTTAACTGCAACAAAACCACATCAGCAGCAACAAGAATACTCCCCTTCCAATCACTGGATAGAACCGTAGAAATAAATGGCTTCCGCGCAAGGGTCCTGTTCGATACAGGAACGATATGGCATAACATTCCAAGTAATACCTTCATGGCCATACACGGTATAAAAATACAACCTACAAAATACCTGGTAACCCTTAACATGGCCATGAAGGATCTCAGTCAACTAGCAATAGCCAGGCAACCATCATAGTTCAAATGAAGAAAGCAAGGTTCCCAAACAACCCCATGCTAATTGGAAATATTGCAAAATACAATATGCTTCTTGGAATACCATTTATGACTTGCCACAAGGCAACCATCGGCTGTGGAGAAATGACAGTCACCTACTCAAGTCAGAAATTAAGAGTCTCATGTAAACCTACAAGTGGAGAACACAGGTCTGCAGTATCGGAAGCTGGTAAAATGATCATAGCGGAATTCAGCGATATCTTCCCAGACGAAATACCAGATGGCTTGCCACCACTTCGGAAAATTAACCATGGGATACAAATAGAACCTGGATCACAAATCAAAGATGAACCTAGGTACTGGGTGCTGGAAGCATACAAAACACCATTACACAAATGGATCCAGACAAAGTTAGAGCAAGCGGTCATCTACCGTGATGCGGTAACAGGAGCAGACCCTATGTCTGTACAACCTAAAAAGGACGGGAAAGGTATCACACCATTAGTCGACCTTAAGGGACGAAATAATCTAGCAATCAAAGACACCCCCACGATACCCTGGCAACAAGACATCATAAATGCGGTTGGAAGGAAGGCATACCGAAGCAAGATTGATCTCCGCGACACATACTTCCAAACAAGAGTGGACCCCAAGGATGAAAGAAATAACTCATTCAATTTACCCTTCGGGACCATGATAAGCAGAGTAATGCTACAAGGGGACAAGAATGCACCCACCACCTTCATGTGCATAATGGAAGACTGATTAGGGAACTACCTACATGAATTCGTATGGGTATATATTGATGATATCCTAGTGTTTTCAGATACAGTAGAAGAACACCTGGACCATTTACAATTAGTTTGTGAAAAACTACGCGAGGCACAATACTACACGAGTAAAAAGAAATCAGACCTCTTTGCAAAAGAATTGGATATATTAGGACATATAATTAACGACGAAGGAATCCATGCAGCCCCTGAAAAAATACGGGCCTTAGAGGAATGAACAATGCTGATAAATAAAAAGGAACTACAATGATTCTTAGGATTACTAAACTATGTGGCACAATTCCTGCTACACCACACCACAATCGTAGGCCCACTCACCAACCTAATGGGTGGAGCTGAGTGGGTATGGACGCCAAGCCACAACCAAGCATTTAGAAACATCAAACATCTTCACAAGGAACACGGGATCATGCAACCTCTGAAAGAGTTGGAAGAACTGATCTGCCTAATAACGAGCGCCACGGACATAAGAGTAGGCGCATGGGTACGACAAGGACTCACCTGCAACACGGCTAGACTGGCAATGCTCCATAGCCGAAAATTTACTAATCCACAGTTAAATTACGGAACAACTGACAAGGAGGCACTAGCCAT